AGGTGTCATTGTAACGCATTAGAAACTGTCATAGGCTAACTTGTCCTGGGTGATTAGCTTGATTAAAATAGAGCTTCTCTACAGTCTGTAGGCATCTATCCGGACATGGTATAAAAGTGAAGAAATTAAAATTTGACATGTCTTCAGTGAAATTTCTGTCCTCATAAACTGGCATTTCTCTGAGAAACTCCTAGACATTTAAGTCCAATTATATTTAAAGCTAGGAGAGGGGGAAATAAAAGAAAAAAGCAACAGAGGGAGGAAGCAAGGGAGGAAATGTGTGTGTGTGCACATTCTTATGTATGTGAATGACTTTGCTTTATAAAACAAGAACTCAATCTTCTTTCCAAAGAGGAATAAAAAAATTAAGCTGGTATTTATTTTTCTTTCATGAGCACCAATGTCTTGAATTTAAGCGGTATCAGCACATCTTGAAGAACACTTGAAGCATCGTATAATTCATCATTCCTGCATTCAAAACCCCTTTGATGTAAAAATCTACATTTCTGTGGAGAAACAGTAAATAATAACCCTCTCAATACTATAAATTAGCACGTTCTGCAAGTGTGTGTTGTTTAAGTGCTGAAAATTCCAGCTTCAGATTGCCATCATTCATGCCACCGTGTCTCAGATGAGGTCGCCGCTCTATAAATTTCCTCATTGTTAGCCTAAAGTTCACTGTACAGAAGAGCAAGAGACATACAGGAAATACATTTTAAAGTTCTGCTTTCAGTGGAAGATGGAGAGAGCTGTGAAAAGAAGCTGAGGACACTGAAGTATTTCAATTGCTTCCTGCTAATCCGAAGCCCACATATAAGGAGGAAATGCTGTCCAATGTTGTATATGAAGCTAGTTGCTCACTATGGGATAGCTCACTGGACTCTGATAGTGGATTCTAAGCACAAGATCATATAACAAAGATCAGAAGCTTCCAACCAAAGCCACACACACACAGAGTTTCTGCATGGCCCCCATCATATTCTTAATTTGCATTTTCAGGGGGTACTTCTTAGAGTATTAAACATATTATCATCATCCTCACCCAGCAGATTCATCATGCCTCTGGATGCCATAAAATACCTCCAAGTAATAAAGGGCTGTAAATAAGGACTACCAAATTCTTCATAGCTAAATAAAACTTGGGTGCTTTTTGATGGAGTTCGCCTTCTGCATCAAGGCTTGTTAAGGATCTGCTTAATGGATAAAGCTGTGTAAAAGACATTTACACACAAAAGATTTCTCCGTACAAAGCAGGTGAGTGTGTTTTCTCTATCCTATTCATTGCCAGAAATCCTTTATCTAACTGTGTAAAAGGATAGATTTTTGAAAAAAAATTAAAGCATACAGCAGAAGGCATAGATAAAAGCCTGAATGTCATATTACCTGTCCTAAGTTTAAGTGACAGATCAATCCATGATTAACAATGGGGCCCTGAGCAATCTCTTTATCTCCAATGATCTTCACTCTTCTCTATTGTTGGAAAGGGTGGTAAGTCAGAGGCTGACACCAGACCTGCCTTCATAGCCGGTTCTTTTAACTACCACACTGGACTGCTTCAGACACTTTTGACAGCATCTTGTATGTGGGGCCTTACTACACCTCTACAGGCTAACTGATTTATCCTTAGGAATACTTTCTTCTATGAAATCCACAACAGCTGATGCAAAACACCAAAGCATATGGACTAGCTCTATCACTAAGGTCTGTACATGCAAAGGCTCAAGAGTTGGGTTTGGAGAAGAGGAACATCCTCTTAAGATGTCCTTGGAGTGATAAACACATCTATGCACAGCACAGCAAAGCTGGACGTCCCTCCTCACATTAGCCCCATCCCAAGATCAAATGTGTTCCCAAAGCAGGAATATCTTCTGTTATGAAAGACGAGACAAGAATTTTCAGTTGAGATATTAATTTAGTAAACCTTTGAATTCTCCCAAGAGGATACTACAGCTTATATGCCCAAATATTTTTAGTTAGAAATTACGGCTGTTTTGCAATATTTTAGAAAACCTTCACAACACACCTGAAAGCGGAGGTGTAGATTATCTGGCTTGGAGTTGCCTGACAAGTACCATAGGGAAGACAATCATTCACAATAAAATTCATATTTGCGGGAAGGCAGAAAAGCTAGAGATGACAGGAGCTGAATTTAAATATTCCAATTCAAAGCTTTGGATAGCTGAAGTAGAATATAACTTAAAGTGCTATCTTACCCTTGTACCGTAGTCTGCAACTCCCACCTCAGAGAACAGGAGACAAGGATTCCTTCTACCCTACCACAAGAGATGACATTACAAGTAAAATGGACAGGCTGATAGCTTGAGATAGTCTCTGGAGTCACGCATCACTGCTTTCTGTGTCAAGTCAACCCTCCCTGTCTGACGTGTGGAAAGCCATGCCTACTCTCCAGAATCGCATGCATTTCCCAGCATTCCTATAGTGAGGGTCCACTCTAGTCAAACTAATCTCCATTCACAGCCAGGCCATTCCTATACCCACGTATTCATAGTCAGCACTCTGCTGCTAAGTCCGTCCTCCACGGAGCCTGCTCATGTCACAGACACATCTCTTTCCTATGTCTCTCGACATCCATCCAAACACACAAGCGTCTGTGTTCCTCTTAACTAGCACCTGGGCCAGGCATGTTTTAGTCAGCTTCTGGGTCCTGATAGTAGCAAAAAGAGCAAAGAAGTAGGAACTTCGTGAATTCTCAGAACTACTGGCTGGTGGATAGTTGCTTCCTGAGATGGAGGAGAAGAGACCTACCACAGATTATTACACCCCTCAGTGTGAGTCTTCAGTTGTAGCACTCGGGACCACAAAACATAGCCTTAAGAACATGTATGTGTTCTTCAGTCCGTCCTCCACGAATTTGAACTCCTTTCATTCTTCTCTCTTACATGCTATTCCTTTGGGAATCACAGGCCAAAGGGGACAGACACCAGCAAATCACTGGCTCTGAGCCTATTTGGGTGACCGAGAGGTTGGAGAACAATCCTGCACTTTCTGGTTCTGAAGTGAAAGTGCCTGTGCCTTAGTGCAGTAGGTTACCATAGCAACCCCAACAGGGCACTGCAGTGGGCAGCTACAGTACCAAGACACAGAAAACTCATTCTTGACCATCTGAGTTTTGGACATCGGGCTCATGTAGGAATATCACAGTACACAGCCCCGGGTTTGGGATTTTTCAAAAAGATAAGTGGAGTTCTGAGCACCTCCTAGCCCAGCCTCCCCTTTTCATCCACATATGTCCAACTTTATGCACAGTAAATACTGCACGCAGAACCCCAAACAACCCCTTTAGAAACATATAATTCTCCGCATTCGCTCTTACAAAGCATCATGAACAGATTGTATTTGCCCATCAGCATGACTTCAACACGAACTTCACATCCACTAAACTCAACAAACTGAGTGCTGTAACAAGTAGCATATTCACGCTGTTTCTCTTTCTAGCCAGCCCCCAGTCTTTATTATGTTATTGGTATTTTTCCTGCAAAAAATAAAATAAAATAACCTATTCAAGTGTGTAGGTTGGCTTCAATGGGATTAACTGAGTTGCACTCCAGGAACTGTAAATGAACTTTTCATAGGACCAGGCAATTTTTTCAATTACTTTTCCATTGGAGTTGAGGAACCCAGGGTTTCCTCACCTACTCCCTAAATGCTCTGGGTATAAAGATGAATCTTTGTGAAAGAAGGGTAGGGAGAGAGCTTATAATTTCACCTATGGCTTCAACCTACCCATGGCCAGTAGGGAGCCATATTCATGCAAAGTGAACTTGAGTTTGCAGGATGTTAAGTAAATGTAATAGCATCCTGGACATGGTTTCTCTCTCTCTCTCTCTCTCTCTCTCTCTCTCTCTCTCTCTCTCCTCCATCCCCGGCATCTAGAGACTAAATTATGGTTATCCTTATCTCCTTTCCTGAACAAAGTTATATGTGAAGCATATTGTAAGACTACATACACTGAATTTTGGAGAAATGGACTGAACAATTGGGTGGGGGCAGCATGGAGAGACACGGAGTTTCAGATGGAGTAGGAAATGTTGCCTAAGTCACATGAGCCTATGATGCTTTGCAAGATTCTGGTAATGAAAACAAACAGGTAGAGTCAAAGCGGCCTAAGATTCAGTCAGCATCTGAAGGGATTTGGTGACTGTTAGAAAATTAGGAGAAAGGGATCGGAGAGTTGCAAACAAAGGCAAGAAAAGCCTTTTGCCCAGGGAAGCTGTCCTGTGTGCAAGGGTATCTGCACCTAAGGAAGTTTCAAGAACAGAGGAGAGCAATAGCAATATTTGGGCCATTTCCTTAAATAAGAGACCTGAAAGCATCATGGAGATGTAGAAGGGCCTGAAAAAGGAGGTTGTTAAGATTTAGGCATGAAAGTACAACTTTCCAAGATGAACTCCAGCCACATAAGAAACTTGTTTGGAAGGAAGGCTATCAAAGCCCTGGTGACAGATGGAGGCTTTTAGATGAGGGATGATCAACCCTTGCAGTGAGGCACTCACGTGCTGGCAAGGTGACCACAGAATTCTTATTCCTAAGGCCTGGAGATAGTGGTGGGTGGCTATAGGTGCCCAAACGTGTGACGCCAATAGCTAAGCATGTGGCATGTAAGCAGGGAGAGAGGCCTATGAGAGTTGGACTGGAAACTGACTCCGTAGTGATGTGTTCCTGGATGGAAACTCCCAGCTCAAGGCTGAGGAAGGTTTCAGAGACATCTCCAGCAACCTGTTCCTTTGGGGGAAGGCAGCTGAGAAGGGGGGTCGGGTCTCCGGATCTATCAGATTTGGGGAGACATCGGGTGCACTAAAGCCAAAGTGCCAGCCTGCAAGTGGGTGTGGAGAGAGGTCCAGCAGTGGGGCGGATCCAGGGAGGTAGTGTGGGGGAGGGGAGGCGGCGGCAGCAAGTGGATGTGTGGAGCGGGCCGAGTGGGGGGTGGGGGCGCCGGTCCAGCGCCTCCTCCGGCCTCTTAGACCTCTCCAGGGACTCACCCAGCACGAAGTAGGGTAGCTCCGTGTTCTCTAGGTCGTCCACTACGACCATTTCTCCCGGGAAGTCATTGCGCACAGAGAAGAGGAGCTTGGGTTCGGAGGCCGAGGGACTGTGCATGATGCTCAGGTCGTTCTCGCGCAGGAAGGGCAGCGCCGACACAGTGATGCTCTTGAGCTTGCACTCCAGCTCCTTGGATGGATCCGCGTCGCCGGCAGCTGTGGCCAGCACCGCAGCCGGCCCCCAACAGCAGGCGAACAGGGCGCAGAGCATGGCTAAAGCCATCTTGAGCCCTGGCCGCCTTCCTCCCAGCGCTGCTATGATGGGGGAGGCAGCGAGCAGGGAGGGAGCAGCGAGCAAGCAAGGGAGGCGGGGGAGGTTGGGGAGGGGACACTGAGCTCGAGAGCCCTGGTCCCCGAAATGAGATGCTTCTCAGAGAGCCCTAGGTTCCAACGCTGAGGTCTGGAGAGCCCAGCTCTTTGTTTCCCGGAGCTGCTTATCTGGGGAAGGGAAAAGGGGGGGTGGGGGGGGCGAGAAAAAGGGAAGGAAGGATGTTGGGAGGAAAGAAGAAGAGGACTGGGGATTCTAGGGAATCAGGTCATCCCCCAGCTGGCTGATGATGCTCCTGCCTTTTCCATCCCCCAGGCTCTTAACTACCTGCTCTGCATTTTTAGAACTGCGTCTTTGTAATGCAAAAATATCTCCTGTGGCAGCAGCACCCAAATGGCTTGGGAAAAGACACACACTGGCACACACCTTAAAGGGCTCTTCTTCAAAGCAGGTGAAGGGGGGCGAGGAATGTTATTCTAGATAGAAAAGATACAGTCTTTGGGGTTTTGTGAGTGTAGCTTCTCTTCTTCTTCTTCTTCTTCTTCTTCTTCTTCTTCTTCTTCTTCTTCTTTTTCTTCTTCCAAAAAACAACTTCTTAGTTGGATTTATCTGTTGTATTAAGAGGGTGTTGAAATAAATGCACACGTATACATTTTAACCCAATATGAACCCTGAAGAATATTTAAAGATAGCATTCGCAATATTGATATAGAAAGAGCAATCGAAAAAAAAGGTGAACAACAGAGAAAGAAGTCAATGTAACCCATACTGTTAAGCAAAATAGAACTTTCACTTGCAACTCATGCATTTCGTTTCTGTCACAAACGTTATGTAAAACAAGCAATAAAAAATGATGGTGATCCTGTGATTGATAGGGAGAGCAGACTTAGCTCAAAGAAACATTAAGCATTTAATTTAAAAACCAGTAAATAGAATAGAGCAGAGAGGATATGTGAGATTAAAGTTTCTCAGCAGTACTAATCAGTGGGAACGCAATAAAAGAATATCGCAGGTTGTAATGGAGATCAATCCAAGCTCTGTCAAAAAACCAGGGCAGATGTTTAATACCCCTCCACACACAGTATTCTTACAAACAAGAGCACCACCATCCAGACAGAGTTCATGTAAGTTCTGCTTCCACTAAAGCAGGCAGCTGCCATTAAACACTGTATGGCATACACTGTATAAGATAAGCAACAATTGGGAAATGCTGGCATCTGATATTTGCCTGAACTTCCACATGATATGCAATGACTTACTTCAAAAGTATGCCCTTCCAACATCACCTGTTCAGTGTGGATTCAAACACCGACGCTCGAAGACTGTGCTTAGCTCGGTTCCTACTCTAGAAATGGAATTCATCACCTTCTCATATGGATCCCACCTTTGCAACAATTGCTGTCCCGATCTACATGGTGTAACTTACTGATACATGCGAATGTGTTTCCTTTAAATGACCATACATGTGCCCTGCATTCTACAAGACTGATCTAACTGAACAGTTCAGTCTAGTTGAACCAACCGTGTTTTTAAGGTCACAACTAAGAAATGAAAGGAAAAAAAGAAAAACAATTCATAAATTGATGCACGTCTTGTGCCTAAACTTGACATATCCAAAAATTAGTCCAAAGGCGTATTAGCACGTACCAATGTGAACTAGTGCAAGAGGATATATCAGCTAGTGGGCTTTCCAACCATCTTCATTGCTCCCCAAAGAGAGCTGAAGGATGTACAGACTCCATGAAATCTTTTCCTCTCCCCCCAGCATAGAGAAATGCATCAACAGATGAAGAAACTAAGATCAACAGAATAGTCAAGTGCTTGATGAGGTCAATCTATAAAAAAATATGTACAGCTAAAGCAAAACAATATTTCATACATGGCAGCAATCATTCGGCAAACACCAAGCACCCACCTTTTCCTGAGCATTCATCAGAGCATGGGCCAAAAGAATAACTGCCTACTTTTGAATAGTATGAAACCTATTATAATTTTTTAAGTTTTCCTGATTTTGAAAAGAGCAAGTATTGTGTTAGAAAGCACAAGTGAAGCACCATAGGGTTGGCTTCTTATAAGTCACTATGGAGTCTTCTTACAGTGTTATAGTTGGGAGTGTTAGATGTTGACATCTCAATTTCTTTTTAAGAGTTGATCAATAAAGGCTATGGGAACAAAAGGACAACATATTTTGCCTTAATTCCCATACACATGGATGCAATCTCACACCTAGAGATGAGGACAGAAATTGCAGTTCACAGAAGCCAGACTCCTGTGCAGTGCTTTACATTTCAGTGGGATGAGGAGATGTGGGTGTGTCTCAGTCCTCACTTTCATAGAGAGGCAATGTGCTATAGCAACACAACAGATGTGTCTCAAGGCCTGCCTTTTTCATATTCTCCTTTGAAAGGGAATTTGAACCAAGTTTGTCTTTAGCTTTTTATGAAAAGAATAAACTCAAGTGTCTGTATTCACATCCCATGCCATAGACAACATATATGCAAGTATTTATACTATTTAAAACTACGAAATACCATGTTTTGTTAGTTGTAAGCCTGGCTTCTCTCCTGAGGTCCACTGTTCTATATTTAAATGTCAGTGGCCTCTTTTCACTCCTTTAATGCCTTTTTGATTGCATTTCTTATCAGCCAGTTCTGTACCCAAGCACCCAGTTACCAGAAATTCATGAACTCTTTCTTCCTTCATTCCTTTGTAGCTTTTCTGCAAATTTCTGTACTTGGGAAATTTAAAGAATTTTCCATTTCTTGTACTATTTATCCCCATAGATTGTTGTTCACTGTGCTATATCTCATTCCTTGATCATCTCCCCCAAATATGTGTTCACACATATACACACAAATGAAAATAAAGCCTATTTCCCATTTTCACTCCTCCTGTGCCCTTCTGTTCACACAATATACAGTACCCTCCATTCCTCAGGTTGTCTGAACTCCTCAGATAAACCTCCAGCCTTGTGTTGAAGTGAAAAATTTCAAAACTTCCTGTTCTCTTAGCTCTGTTCACTGAACATGTATCCACACACACAAGCACACACACACACACAAATGCATAGCCATATTCAGTGCAGATGCTGAATTCAGTGTCTTGTAGTCAGTGTTTTTCTTTGTAGCATTTAAACAACAATAACACTAATAAAAATAATAACAATAATAATAATGCATAATTTGTATGGTGGTCATGAAAAAGAAATGACATTATGTATGTGAAGGGCCTCACAATTCAGACATTTAGTTATCATTTATGGTGATACCTTCACCATTGTCACTATGTATGTAGCTGTTTCAGACAGAAAGTCGACTTTTGAATCATTGCCACATAAGTGTCTCCATTGTAAGTGTAAAAAGCAAATTTAGTGATTTACATTCCTTGACGTTTACCCAGAAGAAAAGATAATGTGTGTGTACCAGCAGCGAAACATGGGAATATTCTGAGCAGGTTCATTAATAATAATAGATTAAAATATGGAACCAGCTCAGATAGTCATCAGCTTCCTGTATCAAGGACAATAATTTGTGGAAAAAAAATAAAGCAGAGACCACTCTACTCACTAATACTTTATATTTTCAGAATCTAAGAGCAAGTATCATCTTTCGGGAATGAGCAATAGGCTACCATTTCTCTTTGGGTGGGTATAAGATTCTGACTAAGAAGAAGCAATTGTTAGCTTCTTGCAACGTTGGAAATGATGTGAACAGTGGTTACATCAATGCATAGGCATTCTTCAGATGAACTCATGTTGAGTTTTTAATGTGTGTTTTCATCATTAAAATATCATTGGGTGGTTTAAGACACCACAGAAGAAAACACAGCCAAGTTCCTTTATTTTCACACGATCAGTGATCAGTGCCAACTCCCCTGCCCCCAGAGTTTCTAGCACTTTGTCCTTTCCGGTGACTTGAGTTACAGCTATTCTACCATTCATCCATTTTATCTCTTCTGCAAAACATTTCACAAGAACCCTGACCTCCATTGTGTTCCTACTTGGGACAGGTTCAGTGGGCCCCTGTCTCTGGGAATCTCAGGGACAACCGGCTCTGCATTGCAGAAGTAGTTAGATTCTCAGCATTTTAGTAAGATACTTTAACCTAGTTGAAGATCTGGGGACTCCACAGGACCACCGTTCTCTGGCATGTTTTATAGCTTAGACACCTGCAGCATGAAGGAAGAATAACTTGACTAGGATGCAGAGGAGGAAGCAACTGGGAATCAGGAATATAGGAATGAGCGTTTGGAGGCAAGATGCAATTTCTCAGCTTTCCTCACCCACTCGGAACATCTAGCCAATGGACACTTTTTAGCTAACCCAGATATATACTGCTTTGGCACACATTAAACCTCTGGACTCTGCGTTTTTTCTAATTTTTTACAAAATGATCTCTACTGTGGCTCTTAACACAAGGAAACTAAATCCAGACCCTTCTCTCTCTTTCTCACTACCCTCTATATAGCCCCACATCACATGACTTAATGGAAATCCCCCCACATCCCCTTGCCAGTTTCAACTTCCAGCTCTTCTGTTGAAGTGGCTGTTTCTTCAACAATGACTCTTTCCTGCTCTTGCCAAAATTTAGTGTAGTTCACCATTAGTAGAATGTATTTCAGTTTCACACGTTTATTAGAATATCAAAAATATGTTATTCACACCCTTCAAAGTTAATATTTTTATCCCTCATTCTTTCCTCCTTTCCCTTCCTTTCTCCCTCCCTCAAGGCCCCCACCCCCACCCCAGATTCACACAGGCTCAGCAACAGCACCTGCTTCACAGAAACAAGGCTAGTCCTGTTCTCCTTTCTCTAGTCTTCCTTTAAAAACCGAGTCCCTTTTCCTGATAGCCACTGGAGTGAAAGGAGACACACAGGAGGAAAACAGCACAGGCAAAACAACTCTCTCTCTCTCTCTCTCTCTCTCTCTCTCTCTCTCTCTCTCTCTCTCTCTCTCTCTCTCGACTCAGGGCATTTTAAATGTCTCCCCCAGATTCCTCAAGTTCTTTTTGCCTTTGTCCCAACAGTTCTGATGTGGGGGCGTGAGGCGTCTCAATTTAGCTGTCCAGCGATTCTAAGACTCTGCCTAGCCATCTTATAGAATCTCGCGGTCTTTAGCCTCCCTCTTTCCCATGTATCTTTGATGTGCATGTGTGTGTGTGTGTGT